ACCCCCGGCAAAAGCAACCGCGTTGCCGATGCCCTCTCGCGACGACCCGACCACAAGCCCCCCGAGAAAGTCTACGCCGCCATGACTCATATTCAACTCCTTCCATCACTTCATCATCGACACATCCAAGGCTATCTCTCCTGCTCAGACTTCGCCACCATTTACAACAAACTCCGCGATCTTGACCCTGTTCCGGACTACTCCCTCCACAACAATCTCCTCTACATCGATACCAAAGGCACTCGCCGACTTTGCATCCCCGACGCACGAGACCTCCGTACTCAGCTCTTGGCCAAGCACCACGACGCGAAGACCGCAGGACATCTCGGTTTCCAAAAAACCTTCGACACCATCTCCCGCTACTTCTACTGGCCTTCCTTACTCGCCGACGTTCATGCCCCACGTGCCAAGCTGTCAACCCCTCGAACCGGGCCAAACCCGGCAAGCTCCAATCATTGCCCATCCCAACTCACCGGTGGCAGTCCATCTCCATGGACTTCGTGTGCGGCCTCCCCAAGACCGACCGCGGGCATGATTGCATCTACGTCACTGTCTGCCGCTTGACCAAACGTGCCCACTTCVTCCCTTGCAYGRCCTCRMASARTGCCAAAGACGTCGCCACACTCTTCTTCGACCATGTTGCTCGCTATCACGGCCTCCCCGAGAACATCATCAGTGACCGTGATCCTCGCTTCCTCTCACGATTCTGGAAACACCTCTTCACGGCCTACGGAACCACGCTTAAGTATAGCACTGCATTCCACCCACAGACCGATGGACAAACAGAGAAGATGAACGATACACTCCAAAGAATCCTACGAAAGTATTGTCATCCACACCAACACGATTGGGATCAGTTGCTCACAGCCGCCGAGATTGCCTACAACAACACTGTCTGCCCCTCCACTGGCATGTCCCCTTTCTACCTCGACCTTGGCTACCATCCCCGCTTGCCCTCCGATTTCTTGCTTCCCTCGCAACTCAGCCCCTCCACCCCTTGCCCCTCTCTCAATGAATGGGTAGCAACAATGAACAAACTCCTCAGAGAAGCAACCAAAGCCCTTGAAAGAACACAAGAACAACAAGCCARCAAGACTAACAAACACAGACGTGACGTGTCATTCAAAGTAGGGGACAAAGTCTGGCTTTCTGCCAAACGCTTTGAACCCGAACAAGGCTTGTCCAAGAAACTCTCGAACAAGTGGCTCGGTCCCTTCCCCATCATTGAACAAACCTCCCCCGTCAACTGCAA